TTCTAAATTATTTTTCCATTTAAAATTTAATCTCGTGTTCATATATAGTACATGCTTTCACCACATTAGGTGGTAAAGTTTGATGGCTAAGGTTCCATGTTCCGGGGCGGGCCTGGGGATCCGCACTTTATGTGCGCTCCCCGGTGATCCTCATGCACACTGCGGAGGTACTTGGATCCAAAGCAGTAATTAAGTGCAAGCTTACTCTGGGCTAGGGCTGTTCTAAGAACTTTACACATGAATTCATTTTAACCTTTACAACTCTGAGGAGGTTGGTATAAGGTCCCCATTTTACAACTGAGACAGCTTACGTGACTAAGGGAAGGTGTCAGACTCCAATCCGAGCAGCTGGCTTCCGATTCCATATTCTTGGCCACTGCTTTACTACCTTTACAGTTATCCAAGTGACATGAGCAAGTCCCGAGTTTGCAGGGTTAAGTGAAGTCAAATTTGCAGTGGTGAGAGCTGAGAGAAAGGAGTGGATGCTAGGACTTCATTTTGGTAGAAATGCAAGAAAGGGTAGACTGGAGAGATTGCAAGTCCTGCCTCTGAGGGAATATAGTCAACAGTAAGTATGTATGGTGCCAGGTGGGTGTGCTGGAAACATTGGGCAGACCACTGTGAAGTATATGATTGCCTAACCACTAAGCTGTACATTAGAAACTAAGAATACTGAATGTAGTCCTGGCCTGTGTGGCTTGGTTGGTTGGAGCATCATCCCATGCAATGGAAGGTTGTGGGTTTGATTCCTGGTCAGGGCACATACCTGGGTTGCAGGTTTGATCCTGGTCTGGGCGTGTTGGGGGAGGTGGCCTATTGATGTCTCTCTCACATCCTGTTTCTCTTTCTCCCTGTCTAGAGTCAATGAAAAAAAAATTGAATGTAAACTGTAACTGAAAAAAAATTTAAAAAAGTACTGCTTTGGGAGGAAGGTTGGGTTTGGGACATAATCCTATATACCAGCTGGTGTGTGAAGTGGACCACTCATGCATGTTTTCCAGAAAGCTTTTATTTGAATACAGTAAATGCATTATGGGTGGGCAAAAGTAGGCTTACAGTTCTTCAGATGGAAAATACAATAATAATAAACTCACGTACTCACAACTGTAAACCTGTCACCCACCCCTGTATTTAAAATAATTACTTTTTTACACTCTCATCTATTTGTTGGCAGTAGGCAATCCTTATTTTTGCCTGCTTGCGAGGCCAGACACTTTTAATAGGCCCACAAGCGTTACTCCAGCCTCAGTAACAGTCTAGAGAGAGGAAAGTCACTGTTCTCCCAATCTCAGGGGCTGGATAAATAACAGAGCTCAGCATCGACTGTTAGGGGAAGCACTGGATGCTCTGAAAACACAATCCCGGGCATAAAGCACATCAGGAAAAGAGTTTCCCCAGAGGCTATAATGGTTTAAATATATACATATAAAAACTTTAAAATAACATATATATCAAAGCTTGTGGGATAGTAAATGTGTCCCAATCTGGGAATTCCAACTTTCTAGGGCAACTGTTCAAGCCATTTAAGGTAGGAAACGGCAGAAATTAGGTTCCACATCTGTTTTCTTGGAATGCCTTCTATTTTTCTAAAGTGTGGTTAAATAAACTCCGAAAGAGACCCATCTCATTACTATCTTATATCCAGAAAATCCTCTACAAACTGCTTTTGCAGAAGTTGATTAATTTTCCCAAGAGTCAGTCGTTGGTAAGGAAGAGGTCCTTGTATTCTCTCTCGATGTAAACAGCGCCAGCTGGCTGGGACAATTTATTTACATCCTATGAACTTGCCTAAGCGGTTAACAGAGCTTGAAACAAAAGCCCCCTAGCAAGCAAGTCACCCCTGAAACACCATGTGCCAGCTAATGTTATGTAATTCCTCTCTGGCCTCTTGGATGGTACCCAGGGAACAGGGGGGTCATCTGAGGTGCCTGTCTTGCGTTCTCCGCACCTTGGAGACAGGCATCGCAAAATCGAGGCCATCAGGAACTTCCTGCTCACAGCCAGGTGAAAGGCTGCCGAATATGTCAGGATCAAGAAAAAGAAAGATAACGTGAAATTTAAAGTCTGAAGCTGCAGATACTTTTATAACCTTGGTCATCACAAAGAGAAGGCAAGAAACTGAAGTAGTCCCTGCCCCCAGGTTTGGCAGTGAAGGAGCAGAAATGAACCAGACTCCCTGATCTGTATTAAGATGTTAAACATTAAAAAACAAACAAACCCCACACAAATGAATACAGTAACTCCCTAAGTGGTCCACGCTCGCCTCTGTTTCTGCTGTGGTCGGATGCATCCTTGTCCATATATCCACCGTGTTCTTCCTTCATGGTCGGCCAGGAGCACATTCTCTCTCACTCATGGGCTTCCTTCACCTCACTCAACTGCCGGGGCCGTGAGGAAGAAGCTGGTCTGACTTTCACAGGGGCCTCTGATTGCTTACAGAAGGCACTCAATATTTTTAATAAAGAAAAAAACCTCTCAAAGACCAACGAGTATTAAAGAATTGCTCAAATACAACTTAAGTTTAACATTGTTTATTTTGTGTAAAAAAGGGCAAATTTAGTGAATTATTTTCATCTTGTACACAAAGTTATAATTTTAATGCTTTCACATTCATGCTGGAAATTTGCAATTTGGTAAAAATGAAAGGAACATAAATTTCTCCGAAGAATTTTTCACGCCATTATATACACTTCCTGAGAAAGTTTCAAATACTTTCTCAATGATCACAAGTTACCAAGAAAATAAAAGATTAAATTTGTACAGATATTGGTCTATATATCAAATACATACAGAAATGATGTAAAAACCTTATGCAGTTTACTTTGACCTGTCCTCAAAAGACTTGCCCAGGGACAGACGCTTTTCTTTTGTATAAATGACTGTGGCTTTATTTAAAATATGAAAATCAAAGGAAGAAACCCAGTTTAATCACAGTATTTTTAAAATCCCTTCCCAATAGTAAAGGATCATTACCAAATATATAGCACCATAATACAAATATTGATGGGAGAGGGTATTCACATCACGCAAAATTAATAATAACAACAAACAAACACTGAAAACCCGTGTTAGTATCCGTAGAAAAAGAAGTTGATAACAGCTTTAGCTTTCCTCATACACAGCAAAGAAAAGGTTAAAGAATTTAAACTACCAAAAGCCCCAAATAATCCTAACAGGAAAAAAACAAAAACAAACCCAAGGTCAGCAGTACATCTTGAACCGTAAAAGATACTGGGGCTGAGTTGTACAACTGGAGTTATGGCTAATACAGAAATCTCCTCTGCATCAACGGACTTTCTGCTCACTGGCAGCAGGAGTTAAAGAGTCTCAACAACAAAGAGGGCTTCAGATTGTATTGAGACGTAGGAAGTCCTACCTACCTTTAACTGTGGCCATGGGATCCAGACAAGAACCACCTTCACGAATAGGCGGGAAATTAAAAAGCACTCGGAGCCTGGCTTTGCTCTAGAACCGGAAGCTTATAAACAAATGAGCATTTCACAGAACTAATTACCAGGCTCCAAATCAAATCCCTCCTGACTCACTCAGTTCCCTACTGAGCTCTGAGCCCAAGGTGCTGGAGGAGCAAGCCACCCACAGGCTTCTCGTGCCCATCTCATGAAATCAGAGTCCTGGTTAATTCACTGAGTCTGAGGATGAAGATGGTCGTAACTCCTGCTCTGGAAGTCTTCTAGGCGTTAAGTTTACGGGAAGATCCTCAAAAGTTAAAGATCTGGGAAGTGTGAGGATGTCACATTTATAGTAGGTCCCTCTCAGTAATGTTGTTTAAGATAAACATCCAGTAATCTAACAGCGGAATTTCACATATATTTGACACATGAGGATCAACTTGGCGTTGATATGATCTGCATTTATGCCCCTAAAGAGTCAGTATTAAGAAATGTTGACATGCGATTCCATACATTCTTACATTAATAAAGCAACAAATTTTACTTCCAGTAGCAACTACAAAACCTTATGTTATTAACCCCTCTTGCATAGAATGAGGTAAACCTGTGCGTATTACCAATGCTATTATTCCCAAAAGTAGAGCATTATTTTAGAAAATAAATTGCTGGTTTTTAATGTTCTATGCATTTTAAAATTCAAACAAAAATCTTACCTAAATGTCTCCTGGGGCTTTCCATTAACATTTTTAAAGCATTCCATAGGTTGAAGGACTGTAGAGTTTAATCATTTTGATTAATTTCTAATTAGCCCTACCTATATTCCAGAGGAGATGGTCACTATCACCACTCTGAAGAGGCCAGGCTAAGACCCAGAAGCACTTCTAGAACAGATGCAATAATTCCTGAGAGTTTAGTTTATGAACCTCACTGGTAAACGCTAGAGCTCTCTCATTCAGTCACAACTCAACATTAGAAAATGCAGAGAGCAAACCTTTCACCAATTTACCCTTAGATCCGTTTTTGAAAGGAAGCCATAAAAATTTTAAAATAGGGAA